TTCGTATTCCTCAGGCCAATTTTCTATATTTTTGAATTTATTTTTATTAAGATAAGCAACAAATTCATGCAATGGGCAAATAATTTGAGCAAATTTAGGAACAAATTTATGGTAAAAATTTATCATACCTATAAATCGTTGTAATTGTTTAAGAGTAGCTGGTTTTTTATAATCTTTTATTGCTTTAACTTTTTCCTCTGTAGGTAACATTCCTTTAGCAGAGATATTGTAACCCAAAAAATTAATTTCTTTGACGCCAAACATGCATTTTGAAGGATTGACATTTACGCCAAAAGAATCTAACCTATTAAACAGAATGTCCAGCTGTTTCAAATGATCTTCTTCGTTTTTACTAAATATCAAAATGTCATCTAAATAAACGTAAATAAAATCAAGACCTCTAGTTACTTCATTGATAAATCTCTGAAACGTATTTCCTGCGTTTCTTAATCCAAAAGGCATTCTTAAAAATTCAAAAGCTCCAAATGGAGTAGTAATGGCGGTCTTAAAAATGTCTTCTTTTGCGACAGGAATTTGATGATATGCTCTCACTAAATCTATTTTAGAAAAAATGGTGCATCCATGGATTTTAATGTTAACATCGGATATTAACGATAATGGGTATCTTTCAGGGATTGTTAATTTGTTTAAGAAACGATAATCGCCACAAGGACGCCAATCGGCTGTATCTTTCTTAGGCACCATGTGTAACGGTGATGTCACACATGACGAAGAAGGACGGCATATACCTAATTCTATCATATTATCAAATTCTTTTTTGGCAATATTAAATTTTTGTGTATCTAGACGTCTTGGTCTACAGTAAGGTAAATGTCCATCTGTAATAATATGATGTTCTATGTTATGTTTAATTGGTAAATGAAAATTAGGTGATGAAAATATATTAGTGTATTTTTTAAAAATTTCCGTATATTTATTTTCAACTATAAAAAGTTTGGGAAAATCTACTTTGTCTATATTCATAATTTTACCTTTTGAGCTTAGTGAAGTTTCGTTATCTAAAATTCTCTTATTTTTTAAATCAACTAGCAATCCAAAATGTGTTAGAAAATCAGCACCTAATATTGGTTTGCAAATATCAGCAATAATAAAAACGAAAAGAAATTCTCTACGTAAACCTAAATCTATTTTTAATAGTTTTTTCCCAAAAGTAGAAATTTTATTGCCTGATGCTGACGTTAATAAAAAATTGTTATCTTTATCATTACCTTTGAAAATATTTTTTGGTAAAACACTGACTTCTGCTCCACTATCAATTAAAAAATTTAAATTATTGATTTTGTCAAAAACAAAAAGTCTTTTTGAAGATATGTTTCCTTCTCCCAAACAGTTCATAGTTGATCTTATTCGTTTTTTTGATTTATTTTTAAATGAATCATATAATAAACAAGGTGGACCATTACATTTAAATGCTTTCAATTTAAAACGTTTATGATATGAGCATAATAATTTGTCAGAATCGTTATTATATCTGTTCCTACTTTTTGATCTGTGACGACAAGAATGACACTGATTATCATTTCGTCTGTGAGAAGACAAGTTTTCTTGTTTAATTGAGCTTACCTCGTTTTCTAATTTAATTTGTTTGTCAAGGATTGTTTTTAATAAAGTTTGACAAGAATTGTTGAAATCTGTCATAAATTTAACTAAAAATGTATTGTCAGTTTGTGTACTTGGACCTTGAATTTCGTTTATATTCATTTTTGAATTTTGAGATTCCCAAATTTTATCTGAAAGTTTCAATAATTCAGTCACGTCGTCTTTCCCAGATGCTGTTAAAGCTATATCAATAACTGCAGGTAAACGTCTCCGCCATAATTTAATTAGTAATTTCTCATCAATAATTTTGTCTCCAGAGATTTGTAATAATTCTCTAAAGAAATTTGATGGACGTTTATCTCCTAGTTCTGATCTAGAAATTAACTTATCTAAACGAGCCTCTTCTGATAAAGTCAATCGGTTAATTATTATTCCTTTTAGGGATTCATACATGTTTGAATTTGGTGGATTATTAATTACATCTATAACTTCACTAAAAATATCTATCGGTAAGTTTGCTACAGTAAGATGATATTTACTTTTATCTGAATTAATTTTATGAATAAAAAATTGGCTTTCAATTTGTTTGAACCATAATTCAGGTTTTGATGACCAGAAAGGAGGTAATTTAATGTGATTTAAATTTTCGACACAACCAGTCTCTGACTCTGTTTCGTTATTCGGCATTTTATTGTCAAACACAAATGGCAACTTCAAAACATTAAGTAGTAACTTAAAACTCACCTCTTGCAATATTTCGCCCTTGACCTGCGGTATAGCAGGCAAAAAAACAAAAACCTTGAAGTATATCTCGTAGAGATGTTGCTGATGTGGTTGTTCTATCTGATTTTCTGACTTGATCACCTGGACCTGATGAGATTCTTATTTCTATCTTCTACGCCGAAATCCGATGGGTATCTTGTACTGTTGCTCGTACCGTTTCTCGTACCGTTGCTCGTACAATTCCTCGTACTGTTTCTCGTTCCGTTGCTCGTACAATTATGTGTTCTGATCGAGGGGTCACCAATATTATATAGGTATTCTCTGTATCAAAATAACTATATAATTAAAATTTCTTTTTTAAAATTCTTTTTATTAAAAAGGTCAAGAACATGTTACTTCGAAAAAAAGTAAAAATCCAAAAAAAAAATAATTTGTTGATGTTTTTTGTCTCTTGGTGTTCTGTTCTTTCTTTTTTTTCTTTCACAGCTATCCACCACACACTCCATTGTTTTTCCACCTACTACACCACAAATCAAAAACAGATGTGACTTCCAATGTCATCAACTTTGAAATTCTATGACATTGGCAGGAAACAGGATTGAGTCTCATGCCACCACGAAACATTCTAAAGTGCCATTCACATAACAAAAATAAAACGTCGAAATGACAAAGTGGAGATGACTGGTTTAAGGTTATAACATTTATCTATCAACGTAATTATGACAGAGAGAAGAGTAATATGTAGTACGAAGCACTACAGTATTGATTTAGCAAAAACAGCGTAGTGTTGTTCACAATTCCCCCTCATACTAGTCATAAACTTCAGCCATTGGTTCGAGGTGTGTATGGCCCATTAAAGAAATTTTATAACGATGCCTGCAATTCTTGGTTATTACAAAATCCAGAAAAACGGATAACTATTTATGATATTTCAGAAATATTCGGAAAGGCTTATCCATTGTACTTTTCTTTAAAAAATATTACATTCGGGTTTGGTTCAACTGGTATATATCCTTAATAAACATAAATTTGACGAAGCTGTTTTTTTGGCAGCATCAGTCACTGATCTAAATTCCAGATTGCAATCAGATAATTTAAATGCAGAACCTAGTTGCTCTTCTGCAAAAAATATTGCGGGAATTTCTCAGGAACCTCAGATTGCTTCTTGTGAAGTAATAGAAAAATAAAATGATTGGCCAAGTGGCTCAGGGATGACGGCTAATGAAAGATGTGTAACTCCTTCAGTACCTTTTGTAACTCCTGAAACTGTAAAACCGTTCCCAAAAGTAAAAGCGTTTCAGACTAAAAGAAAAGGAAGGAAAAAGGCAGTGTCTGAGGTTCTTACTGCTACCCCTATTAGAGACAGAATTTCGGAGGAAGAAGAAACTAAAAGAATAAAAAAAGAAATGCGCGTAAAAGGAGAAGCGAAACAAAAAAAAGAGAAATTTAACAGACATCGAAGAGAGCATGAAACCAAAAAAAAAAAACAGAATGTTATCGATCTGACAACGACAGTTCTGATTCCCTTATACCTTTAATGGACGACACCGATGCAGAAAAAGATAATGAAGAATCGGTTCCTTTGCATTTGTTAAAAGAAACAAAATATTTAAAAAACAATAATTTCATTTTAGTAATATTTGCGACGAAAAAAACTATGAAATATTAGGTTGCGCAAATACAAAAAATGGGTAATATTGAATTGACAGTCTCTTATTTGAGACACAAACTTGGAAGGATTGTCTTTACAGACATTGAAGATGTGGCAATAGTCAACTTGGATGACGTGGAACTTGCTTTACCGAAACCAATACTTAGTGGAGGCACCGCTCGAAGTAGTCACTCGTACAAGTTTCCAGTCAATCTTAGTTCTTTTAATCTAGCATAATACCTACGTTTTTATATTACAACAAACCAGTAGGGGGGTGGGTGGCTCAGTGGTTAGAGCCTGTGCCTGTGGATCCAAGGGTCCCAGGTTCGAATCCCACCGTTGGCCGGAATTTTTTCATTTAATTTAATTATTTAAAATTAATTCTGATGCCTTGGTAGGATTCCCCACTCGACCATTCACTGTTGGGTTCTAATTAACAGTGCTGTTCCTAAAGTGGCGCTGGGAAACAGTGACAAAGCCTACACAGAACACACATGATTGAGAATTTAAACACAAATTTGAGACTGGCATATTAGGTATATACACCTAGGCCATAAATCGAAAAAAAAAAAAAAAAAAAAACAAACAAACCAGTGGTTTTGTTGTTTTATTTGATCTACATTTTATTAAAGCGTATATAATAGGTCTGACCACTGTGCCCCACGACTATGTTCACTGTACCCCGGATTGTAAGAAAAACATTTTTTTCTGGATACCTAGAGTTATTTAAATAAATACTTGCTGCAATAAATTATAGTCTTATGTTCCAATAGACCTTGTATAAAATGTTGAATTGTTTATGTTTGATAATTATGCATCTATTTATCAATTTCCAAAAAAAATGGCCACTGTGTCCCGCTCTCACCTACCAGCGACAGTAGTTATATCGAAGATGTCATATTGAGGATGTAATTATGATGCCAACTTATACCTATGTAAGGTTTTTGATATAATACAATTTTAATTTAGTAAAGAACGGTCGTAGAAAAAAAAGTAGTATTTAATTTTTAGTAATTACCATTACTGATTGTTGAATTTTGAATATATTTGCTTATTTTTTACTGTTTATTTTCTAGAAAATCAAAATGAGAGTATTAATTGTCTTCGCTGCAGCTCTTTTGGCAGTCAGTGCTCTTCCAGCCCACGAAGATTGGACTTTGTTCAAGGTATTTTTTGTTAATTATTTAATACTCAAAATTTCAAACTTTCCCAAAAAGTTCCCAAAAATTATTATTATTTCAATAAATAAAAAAAAAAAATTTTACCATCACATTATTTTTGAAACTCTTTATGGATCATTTTGGACACCACACATTCTCATTTACACTATTTTAAAGAAAAACACTAATTTTAAATAGTATTAAAATAATTTAAATGGTCTACAAAATTCGACTTCTAAAATACACCAGAATTTATGTGAATATTTACAGATTTGAGAAAAAAATCAATATTCCATATGTAAAGATTTTATACAAATTTAAAAAAAAATTAAAACTCAAAAATGAACTAATAGTTCAAATAAAACAACCGAAATCTGTACGAAAATCTAAAATCTTTAGGAATTTGAAAAGATTTCAAGAGTAATTAAAATTTTCTATACCTTTATTAAAAAATTAATTTCAATAAAAACTTAAAAATTCACAATTTTAGTTAACACGAATTTTCAATAAATATTCGTAAATGTAAAATATCTCAATACCAGTAGCGTAGCGTGACGTCGATTATAAGGGGATGTAATGAAAAACTGCGATTCACATTTTATAAAACTAATCAATTTTTTTTTTTATTAAAGCCTTTTATTTGGGACTTAAATTCATAGGCCTACAAGCAAACTGCACTAAGACAGGTATGATGAAAAATCCATTAAGTCACTTACTGTATTTTTCCTGAACAAAATAATGCTATTATGGACCTCCGAGCAATTACTAATAGAGGGAGCGTGAAAACGAGTTTGTAGGCGATTGTTGTGTTAGCAACATCTGTAGAGGAAGTGAGGAAGCGGGCACAAGGGGGAAGGTAAACATCCTTCTTATTCAGTGGCGTATCATTTATCTATAAAAACACACATTGTCCAAACGTTTTAATTGTAAAAAAAAACTAAAAAATTTGCTAATTTTACTATATTTAAAAAGAATACCGTCTTATATGTGTCTAATGCAGGAAATGAAACAAAATCACTGTAACGGTCTAATTTTTTCAATTGAAGAATAAAACCTTAAAATCAATTTAATTATAAATAAATACAGTACCGACCAGTTTCGGCCTTACAGAAACATCTTCAGGCCTGTATACAATAATCTTTAATTATTATAATAGGTTGGTCACTTACGAATAACATTAAATAGTATAAACCACAAAAATGGATCCATATTGTAGCGTTACAGCATTATAGAATTAAAGCTGTGAAAATAAAAGAGCTGTGCAAACGTAACTAAAAATAAGAAAACTGAGTACGGAATCTACAAGAGATGAGAATGAACAATTACGAATGCATTTAAATTGCTCGGGATAACAAATAAAGCTGATAATGTAGTAGTATAGTCCCCGTCAAAGAAGGTCTAGATATGTTAAAGAGGACGGCGTTTTCTCTGTAAATCTGGAGAATGTAAGGATGAAGGGAAGACGAATCTTGCTGGCTCAGGTGTAGATGAAAGCTCCAGTAAATATCGTCACTTTCGTCTAATTTTTTATTCTCTCTCACCGGTACCGTTTCGGCTTTATCTTCGAAGTTCATTTTTAAAAGGAAATAAAAGTAATCATTCATGCAAGCATATAATAAAACAATATGAATTCATTATATTTAATAAGCTAATAAACGTTTGTTTCAATGAACAAAAACATATATGGGAATATAAGAAATATATAAATAGATAAGATTAATATCAAAATCAATTTGAAAATACAACAGATAATGAAATGAAATAAATTAATACAAGTACAAATGGAAAGTTAATAACATACCTTCTAAAAGTAACACATTTTAAGTAGATATATGTTTAAAGAGTTTATTCCTGAACATAACTAATCTAACGTTTTTTCCTCTTTTAATATTATGAGGGTTTTTGTAGTTGAAATGAAAATTATAATTTATTTTGGTCCTAATAAAAATTTAAACATAGGTTATCAAAGAGTAAAATACATAATAAAACTTCATAATCTTAAATCGTTATCAAAAATTATTAATGGTAAAACTTCAAACAATAATTAGATTCTTAAACAAATTTCTAGTTTTGCAAAAGACTTTTTTGCCTTCATCGGTTGCCTCTGCCACTTTTCTTTTAGTAGTTTCGAGGAGAATTTTCCTATGGAAACTAGTAGAACCATCAATTGATTGGTAAAATTTTGATATTTTGAGTCTGGTAAGTCTTGTTAAACTTTCTTCTTACGAAGCTGTAACCTAATGGAGAACAAAAATTTAATGTTAGATCAAAAGCTCTTAATTGAGAATTATATTTGCAAAGGCCGTTTTAATAATATATTCAAAAGTTCTTGGAATCGTTGTTAACAGAAACCTGCAAAAAATATATCATTTTATTCCTAAAATATAAGATATCACACAATGCACATTCATATAATATCATTGGGCTAGAAAAATACTAGGTAGGTACTGAGACAATTTAAAAAAAGTATTTCGAGAAACTCAACTTTTAATGTCATCATTGCACTTAACTTTTTTATTGCTAAATTATTAATACTGTCGTTTTGTGTAGTTCATTGTGATTTGTATAATATATATTGTAAAAACCTATCGTCAAAGTTAATGTGCCAAGTTTTTTTAATAATTATGTCCTTGTTATAGTAAAAACACATTTTTAAAGTTTTCTGGATTTATGCTTTAAATTATTGTACAATTGAACTGACTAATTTTGTGTTTAAGTAAAGGTATATCTCTTTTTTGTTATAACAGTCTTTGTATATTATTCTAACTTTTAAGATAATCAGAGAAAACAGTAAGACATCTTAATATATCCTATTTCACCAACAAAAATGTAGAATAATTAATCTCATATCAAACAAAAAAGTCATTTTAGGATATCCTAATAGGTTTTAACTTAAAAACTAAATAAAATGTATATTGCAACTGTGTTTAAATAAATGAATGTTTTTATACTTGACTATAGTACCAGACAAACATTTTTTTAGATCATAATGATCTGCATAACTCAAAATAGTCAAAATCCACATTATTTAAGTTGTTCTAGTATTGTTTTAGCATAACGATGAAATTAAAAAAAAACATGAATAATGTGATATTTTTGTTTAGTATTGTACTATATAATATAGTTCATTAGGTAGTGATTTAGAAGCAAATTATGTTCTATTTATAGAATAAAAAATCACTCATAATATCTAAATATTTATACCTATTTATATTTTGGACAGGAAGACTATTTTATGTTTTTGGCTCTGAATAGTTTTCTTAAGAATTTTAAAACCTTCCTTAGCTCTTTTGGGATATTCCATGCATATCTTAGAAGTTCATTTTGTTTAAACCTAAAACAAATTAAGTACAAAAAATGAAAATTTAAACAATACAAAAAATTAGTCTTTTAGATTATTTAAAAAAAAGTGTCAACAAAAAAATGGCTATGCCTTTTTCCTTAAACATTCTTTTTGAAATAAACTTACTTGCTGTTTTAGTATTTTAGTAGCAGATGAATATAGTGTAGAAGTAGTGACAGGATTGATTATTATACTTCTTTCGTCGAAATTGCATTTTTCTTTAATATTTTCCTCCCCTGAGGTCTATAATAAAAATGTTCATTAGCATAAAAAGTTATTCAGGTGGTCACTTGTTGAATTCCTATATTTTGGAACCATGTATTTCTTTCTCATATCAAGAAAAGGAAACCTAAAAAAATAATAAACTTTACAAAGATGTGATATTAAAATAATAAGTAATTAACCTTTACTATAATCATTATGAGACAGACGGATGAAGACGAACTTAGCTGGAGTTTACTTGCTCTTAATTTTAATTTTTCGATAAGCAAATAAGAAAGTTTAATTGCAAATTAAAGGCGATTGCCTAATGCACCGCCTCTGATAATTAGGTTGTGTCTGTACTTACTTATGATATTATCTTGAAGAAGCATTTTCAACAGGCCTTTTACACATAACGCATGTTTTTACCATATTATTAGAGATAATAAATCTTAAATATACATTTACAACCCTTACAACGTTATAAATAATAATATTTTCCGTAAAATACAAATAAGAAATTGACATGTGTCAGAAAGTGTCAGAACTGGCGCTCACAGAACACTTCTGGCGCTGTCAAACTTGGCAACGCTGATTAAATAAGCCAATTACAGAAGAGGTATTTTCCCCCTCGGGGAAATGTTGCTAACAAAATTTAGCGCGGGGAAGGGGGGAAGACTCCCTCTAGTAGTAATTGCTCGGAGTTATGGACTTAATGAATATGAAAATAATTTAAAAATAAGGTTAAGAAATCCAGTCAAATAATGTAAATAAGTCAAAAATAAAACAATCTGATTTTGCTTGTAAACCGACGAAATTAATTATACAAAAAAAAATGTGACAGGCTAAAAAATAATCAAAATAATAAAAAAAGAGTAACTAAATTAAAGTAGAACAGTTTACCTAAAAAAAATTAAAAAAAAATACGTGTGGCACTCGGGGACTGCCGCGGTAAAGCTATTGCATAGCATTTTTTATCAACTTATGCAATTATAATTATTTATTTATTTTATTTATGCAGTATTTTTTTTCTTTTATATTAATTTAAGTTTTTTCTTTGATATTAATTCAAGTTACACTTTTTGAGCGTGGTGACCGATAAGAAAACAAATTATTTTCTTTTATCGAATAAATGAAAAGTTAATATTGTTTAAAATATTTTTATTATCTTATAATACATGTAGGTTATTCAGGAATTTTTATCATTGAAACTATAGGTTTATGGCAACTGAAATAAGAAACATAAGTTTGAGAATTGATATCCTCTAAATATCTGGAAAATACCGCGTCAATGATGGTCCCATATTTTGTTGTAGATTCTTGTGGATTATTATTTATTTTCAAATTCAATTTTTCCGAAATTGTGTCTCTAATAGAGATAGAATCAGTTATGAGCAGTTAGCAGCTAGTCTACACGCATACGTCTAGTCGCACGCACACAAACATTGTGCCGAAGTCTGCCGAACTGAACCGACGTTAGATGATGCACGACTTTCAACGCCGAACCGTTGTGTCGGTCGGAGTGAGGAGTGTTAGGTTTATTTTCGTTACGGAATTTTTCGATTTTTCGATTTTTCGATTTTTCGATTTTTCGATTTTTCGATTTTTCGATTTTTCGATTTTTCGATTTTTCGATTTTTCGATTTTTCGATTTTTCGATTTTTCGATTTTTCGATTTTTCGATTTTTCGATTTTTCGATTTTTCGATTTTTCGATTTTTTGATTTTTCGATTTTTCGATTTTTCGATTTTTCGATTTTTCGATTTTTCGATTTTTCGATTTTTCGATTTTTCGATTTTTCGATTTTTCGATTTTTCGATTTTTCGATTTTTCGATTTTTCGATTTTTCGATTTTTCGATTTTTCGATTTTTCGATTTTTCGATTTTTCGATTTTTCGATTTTTCGATTTTTCGATTTTTCGATTTTTCGATTTTTCGATTTTTCGATTTTTCGATTTTTCGATTTTTCGATTTTTCGATTTTTCGATTTTTCGATTTTTCGATTTTTCGATTTTTCGATTTTTCGATTTTTCGATTTTTCGATTTTCTTTCATTGAATAAATGAGAAGTTAATAGTCCAGGATCCGTAAGTAGGGTCGACCTTCACCCATCTGTTTAATGGAAAAAACTTATTTTTTATTAAATAAAATATGTTTTTAAATATACTGCAAATGGGTTGCCTAAAGCCTTGGTTTCTTTAAATACTCCGTCACGGTGAGCGGACAGTCCGTCGACCGTCGCGTTTTGACGATTTTATCCAACCAGAGTATTTAAATAGGAATGGTTTTCTTGAATCCGCTTAGCTGGGCAGGACGGCGTCATGCCGCTGATTTGTCGCGAAAAGTCGGTTGATATCTGTTGAGTTTGATATCGTCGGCGTGTGCGGAGAATATATTGTTATTAATTTTAAAACAATGAGTGACAAATTCACACATACAGATGACATCATGACTTTATTTTTAGGTTTCTTGGAAATTATAACTCAACACGAATTCAAAAAGATCTGTAGAAAGTCTAAAATACTCCCTAAATTTGGTTTCATTTCCAAAAAGCCTCCGCACAGTGATATTAAAGGCACCTTCTGTATCGGGACACAAAAACAACTCATCCACTGGCTTATTGGAAACTTTGACAGATGCAATTGCCAGTTCCTCTTGTTCTTCCTCTTCCAACAATAATAAAACGCAAACAATTTATTTGCATCCATTTTAGTACCTTTCGTTTACATTCATAATACATAAACAGCACGTACAGACATAGAGAAAGTATAATTTTCTATATTTTTTAACAAACCACCTCGGGCGAAAATTGCTGTCCTCAGCGGTCGACGGACTGTCCGCTCACCGCGACGGAGTGTTCAAAGAAACCAAGGCTTTAGAAAATACGGTCACGCCCATTTTTTACTTTCCTTTCTGTGTACAGATAAGAAACAGTATAAAAATCATGATATAAGTTGTTTATGATGTCATTATCTATTATTCTGTTCCTATACATGATTTTCCTAAAATGGACCTAATTCGAGATATTTGAGAAAAAGTGCAAATTTCGAATTTTAAAGACAACTTAAAAACGGACCAAGAGAAAAACACCAAATTTTAAATTTAAGCTTTAATCCATCCTGCGGTGAGCTGATTAAAGTTTGGGCATAGTTGAAGCATCTGGGGAATACTTTACAGGGTGTCGTTTTTTTTACTTTAAGAAAAAAAATACTCTGGACCGTATTTTCTTAGGCAACCCATTTTCGGTATATTTATAAATTTATTTTATGTAATAAAAAGAAACTTTCATCCATTAAACAGATGGGTGAAGGTCGACCTTACTTCGGATCTTAGACTATAATATTGTTTAACGCCACATCGCTGTGCTGGTCGGAGTGGGGGGTGTTAGGTTTTTTTTCGTTACGCGTTACGGAATTTCTTGATTCGGTCGCCGCGCTCAAAGCCCGCTATAAAAGCTATGCAATAGCTTAAAAAATTATTATCTAATATTTACGCCAGCCGGGAACATTTGTGATACCAATTTAATAGAAGCCAGAGAAAGCTCTTCTAGTTCTTGTATTGCATAAACGTTCCAGTCCACAGACGTATATTTAACTCCGCTTCATACTAATACGAATAGGATCGGATAAAACCTTCCACAACCGCTGTGCCGGTCGGAGTGGGGGGTGTTAGGTTTATTTTCGTTACGGAATTACGGAATTTCTTGATTCGGTCGCCACGCTCAAAGCCCGCGATAAGAGCTATACAATAGCTTAAAATGTGAACGTATCTGTTAAATTAAATTTTAGAATTAAGATCAATCCTTCTAGTGTGCTTATTTGCGAAAATATTTATTACATTTTCTTCAAATGCTATTACGATACTCACATTCGCGTAACGAGAACCGTTTAAGAGACCGTATCACTCACCAGTGAAAAAAACGGACTGGAGCGACGTCACGGCCGGAAAGGTCGCTGACCTGGGCTTGCTATATCAGGCGGTCAAGATGTAATGAGAAGCATAACATCTCGCATCATAGCGCTGTTGAAATATTTTCATTTGTAGCATAGTAGCTTATTCTATAAAACGCATATAAATTGAAATTGAATTTAATTATTTGAATAAAGTCACTGAGAGTTTCAAATTATTACAAGAGATCTTATTGATTTTATTTCAAATAAAAAAATATTAGCTGACAATATTTTGAAGGGATGCGACGCATTATCCTCAATAATGGAAGCTTCGCCACTGCTCAATACAAACTAAAAAGTTTCAAGGTACACTAAAATTAATAAATGGAAATAAAATTTCGCTTCCGTATCATGCACCTACTTTCTCTAACAGTGTCCAAGGTACATAGAACCTCGTCGTTTCATAAAAATAGCCTCTACAAAACGTAACGACTGTATAAAATCTATTATATAATGACCAATTTTTCATGTAAGGCCAAACATGGAAAATCCTACGGAAGTCTCGATGAAGAAAAACTCCGTTTCCAAATTTTCCAAGACAATGTACAAAAAATCAATTCACACAACGCCCTTTATGAAGCCGGACTTGAAACTTACACCATGGCAGTCAACAAATTCGCCGATTTAACACCCAAAGAATTCGGAGCTATGTTCAGACACCAAAACGGCCCAAGTACCTCGAAGCACTTGGCTCGTCATGTTCAAAACCAAAACCTCACTACTCCAGAATATATCGACTGGAGGCAGAAGAACGTCGTTTTGGAAGTCAAGGACCAAGGAAAATGCAAAGCCGGCTGGGCTTTCAGTGCTGTAAGTATATTTGTCATCAAAATTTTACTGTAAACATCCAGTTCTATAAATTATTCTGTCATATACGAGTACTTAACCTTTTCACCAACTAGTGTGTAATTGATTTCAGACTGGTGCCTTAGAAGCACAAAACGCTATCAAAACCGGCAAATTATTGTCTCTTAGTGAACAACAGTTGATTGACTGTGACACAAATTCAATCGACAAAGGTTGCATAGATGGTGATATGACGTCCGCTTTTGATTACATCATCAAAAACGGTATTAACAGCGAGCATGATTACCCATTCGAAGGTATAAACAACACATGTAGATCCATGTCTCGTACTGAGTTAAGTGTTAAGGAAGCCCGAAGTCTGCTCGAACAAACCGAAGCTGCCCTTAGAGAGGCTGTTGGTAAGTACAAACTAGCGACACTAGTGTTCTCCCAATATGCTCTAATTGTCTTTTGTTTCCATCTCTCTTTTTCTCTGTATCCATCTGAGAGGTTTGGAAAGATTTAAGTACCTAAGCTAAAAACAACTCACTTAAAGATTTTTCTCTTATTGCATCCTTCAAGTCTTAGTTCAAAATAAGTTGAGTTTCACCAGTTTTAGAAGTCCTTCAAAGAGTAACCTAAAACATTATGTTTTCTTCATTCGAGTGGTGAACGAGTTAGGGGAAGGTAGGAACTTATAAAATTATCATCATAAATAAATAATGACGTATATCTCTTTAAAGTCATCTAAGAGGACCAATCAGTCTGATATATCAATTCCATAATACATTCTTTTTATCAACTCCGTCTACCACGGTATTCAGTAATTATCATTTTTTAAACGCTCTCAGTCCTGATATTATGTTCCAATCTTTCTCTAAATTTAAAACTAAATATATATATTTTCTGTCTTCAGGTACAATTGGACCAATCTGTGCAGCCATATACCATGAACCTATCCAATTTTACCAAACTGGTATCTTCGAAAGTTCTAGCTGTTCCAACGATTTGGCTTTATTGAACCATGGTGTCCTGGTTGTAGGATATGGAATGGACAACGACCAGAACTACTGGATCATCAAGAACTCATGGGGCGCTGATTGGGGTGACAGAGGTTATATCAGATTAGCCAGAGACGCTAACAACCAATGTGGTATCGCCTACGACACTGTCTACCCAGTCTTAAATTAAGTTTATCCATTTTGTAAACCATATCTTTTGATAAATAGATAATTTAATGTTAGTAAATTCGACACTTGTTTACTTTCTATTAAAGCCTTCAAATTGCCGGAATATTGAAAAAATGATGTTATTACAAACTTAAAATCTTTCCTCATTAAACTACCAATATACAGGTAGGGAAATTTAAACGCGTCAAGCGTCCCCTCCAATTCTTTTTCGAACCCGGTGCCTTGTTTCTCACTCCGACGCATTGTGGGTGGAGTTGTCGCAATATTTCTCAAAACTATTCATACGACAGGCACTCCGCGCTACTAAGTGGTCTTTGTTTCACGCATGGTTCTATTATACCTTATCCAATTCATTGTAAAAAAAATGGTCCGCGAATACAACACGATTTAATGCCACACTTCAAAGTTATGTACGATGGTTAAAAAATTTGATTAAAAACTAAAAAAACCTGGTCATTATGGTCTAAATTTGTCACCTAATGACATTTGTAACATGTCATTATTATTTTGACATAAACCGTTTTAAAGCTATCAACCGGTAGTTTCCGGTATTTACCGTTTTAATTAAAGCGATGTTTATTATCCTTGGTTACTTTCTATAACGTCATATTTAAGCCCTTTAAAACGTCATTAATTATAACCGGTAAATACCTGAGTCCAGACGTGGGTTAATACGCTAGTTCAGTGATGATGTAATTATGGTTCCACTGACAATTAAAGTGACAGTAGATTTTTTGAGTGCGTTTTGTTCGTTTTGTTTACCTAAATTATATCGTTTCTTTCACTTATATAAATATATTCCTAAAGTAAGTAGATACCATGTATCAAATATACAATCGTTTAGTTACCCATTACATAACTTTAAACTATTTTTTATGACCTGTAAACAATATTTTGAAATAAAATAAAAACAGTAAAAACGTATATGTCAAATTTTTTGATGTTTTTGTTAAAAGTTTGGTTAGAATTAAATGTCAGTGGAGCCAAAATGACATCACACTGAACTAGCGCATAATGACAAGTGAAAGTGACATGCAATTAGTGTTTTTTGGTTATATTATAGAATTAGTTCAGTCAAAATTGGAAATAACATTAGTTACGTAAATTATCAAAAAATGCTACTGACACCATGTAAAAAACATGTCAAACTGTTCATTATTAAATTGTAACATCCAGTCTACACAATTATAATTTATTTTTGGTAACATATCACACATTTTTATTCCGGCCAGTTTCATAAAATTAACCTAGAAATTAAATGTCAAAATTTCATGTCATATTCCTTGAAAACGATTTAACGTTAATGCGTTACAATAACCGGTTATCTTTTTAGGGCTTTAGTCACGTGATTTCAAGGTTAACCAAGGGTATAACCAAAGTAATTTCTGGTTCATCGCTTTAAAACTGTTATAGTCGCACGACGACCTCTTTACAATGCCGTCATCAGATACGGTTTTAACAGCGAAGCTATAATTAATCAGAAATCCGTCTTATTCATGTTTAGTACCAAACACAAAGAAAATACAAACATGGCGTTTGGATCTTTCATGTTATAAATTTGACATAATTTAGCCCCAGATAGCACACAGTCGTCTTAAAGACGTCTAGCATAAGACTATGAAGACTAGAGATAAGAAGGCTAATCGGCATACTCAAAATACGGTCCCAAAAAACGCATGCTAATTGAACTTCTATAATTAACCGCATGGGCGCTGGTACTGCATACGTTTTTCAAAATCACATACTTTGAGTATGTGTTCAAAATACATGGCTTCTTATGGGAATTATACATAATTTTGTCAAAATAATAAAAATAAACTTGTTTACAGCTAAATGAAGCACAGAACATACTGTTGTATTTATTTCTAAATAAGTCTTGCATGTTTTAATTGATAAATTATTTAATTTTATCTATTGGGATCTAAAATTAAGATCGCAGCGCCGTCTGTACTTAACATTTAAACTAACTGTTATGGCTTGTTATTGTTTACATTTTTGAGTTTGTAAACAAACAGCCCATAAAAAGTATTTAGTTTATATTGTGCTATTTTAAGAAAAACATATATTGTTGTTGTTAATTTTTTAGTGATTAGACACTTTTATTTCAATAGTTTTTAGGTTAAAGTAAAATGTATATTTTTATTTGGTAAGTAACCCCCTATTAATTTTGTTTTTAAGTTACTTTCATTTATTTATGTTAATTTAAGATATTTGTGTTATCTTTTAATAAAATATTAATATATTTATTCTATTTTTAGTGAGATATCTGAAATAAGGCTAAGTTTAATAGAACTTATGAAGTATGTTGGTTCAGTTGAAAATTCCAGGGTTGTTATTAAAGAAGATGCTATTTTAAATGCAGGCCACATACCTAGTTTTCATGTGGAAAGAATGAATTTAGTGATAAACATATATCTGTTTATGCAGTTGTTCTCCAAACTAGTGCATTGAATTCAGATCCCCATATATGTTTTAGTTATTGAGATTAAATATAATTACAAATGATTATTGTGAAAGAATCGATAAATAATGGCACTACACAAAATATTCTTTCATATTTTCAAATAAATCTAAAATCAGTTTATGATTATTAAAAAAAAAAACATGTGTCCTTGGTAGGGAAGCAGAATATTTATGGCTTCACTTTTATGTTTGCATTAACTATTTGATAATCTTTAATGTTCCATAATTTTATTTAACAAGATGTTTTAAAACAGATACAGAATAATTGTCCTTTTAAAATCATCTATTAACACATAGGTACTATTTTTTTTGTTTGTTAGTTTTGATATAAAATTTACTTAGTCATAATTTTAATTTGTAGTTTGTACTAGTTTTTATAATATATTAATTAATTCATGTTACTTATTCTCTTACAAATGTATGATACTTCGTAAGTGTTCTTATTTCTCACCTTTTTAATGCACTGATGTTTTTAATGTTTGGATATTGTGTGAATAAATTATATTATTATATTAATAACATAAGTAACTCATGTGATCTCTTAAGACGCCCCGACACCACGTGTACAATTCAAATGCCGGTTTTGCTGGTTACCTCTTGTCTAGCATCCGTCTCCCTTCCTCGAAGAAATCGCCTGTGAGAAAGGATACACTGGAAAAGTTGTTTGTGTATACGCTAACATAATATTCCTTGGCGGCTGCTGCTGCACTGTTATTTTATACAAATTAATATTTGTAGATTAGCAGGATCATCTATATTATTTGAAAATTTTATTTATTTCCGAGTACAGAATAAATAACTGCGTTATTAGTGTGAGAATTTAAATAAAATAAATGATTTATTAAATAAAAATTAATTAATTCTTTAAAGTTTTTATGTTTCGTTCTTAAACTTTGTTTTATTTGAGTTGACTAGTAGGTAATTATCATTTTTTTGATTTCAGATAACAATTTTTTTGCAAACAAATATTTTTGTGTATAAAAAATATAAAATTGGAAATTTCGAATTGAACATAAGATTTATATTATTTACATTACCTTCTTAGGCAGGGACGGTTACGTGACTAATTTAGATAAGTGTACTGTATTATATTTTAAATTAAAAGGCAGTACTGGTATTTTTTTGTCGAGTAAAACTCAAAAAATTTTCATAAAATATTTTTATTGTATTAAATAAATCTTAATTTGTTTAACTCAAACTCTAAGTCTTCTTTTCTTTGTTATCTATTGCTTTAAGGATATATTCGGGTTCCCTAATTGACATACCTCTGGCTAATCTTGAATCCACAATTTCGGGAAGAAGGCAGTGAAAATAAAAAATTTTAAGGTGAGGCAACATAGTGTTTAGCCAAAAATCGTTGTCTCTAGTAATTGTTTCCAGCTTAATCTCATTTTTAGTCCAGATACAAAGAATACAATATTCTTTTTTTGCTACATTTAATTGACCTTGAATCTGATAATACCAGTTGTGTCCTGTATTTATTGACACTTCATTATTTTTGTTTATTTTTAATATTGAAATTTTTTTCTGCCTAATTCCATCTATTATTGTAGAGTCTCTGGCAGAGTAAGGGCACTTAATTTCGATTAGTTCTTTTTCTCCCAGAAGACAAACAGGTGTTGCAGCCAACCAGGGGTATTCACCGCTAATAAATAATCCACTTGACTTGATATTCAATTTATGCTGTTTTATCAAAATATTTTTTACAGTAGACTCATTGACTTTACCCCATTCTACTGCATTGCTCCTGATAAATGGTTGTGTAAGGAGCTTATGAACTAAATTTGCACAACAAGTCATTGGTTTTCGCTTACAAACCTCTCCAAAATGTGAAGCTGTTAAAAGGTGTTTTCGAATTTCGACCCATTCAAAATTGTTGGCCTGCTCTTTGGTTCTTGCTTGCATTCGATTTTTTTAATTATTTTGTTGTATGGTTTAGCATGTAAAATTTGTTTGTAGCAGTTACTATCCCCATCAGCAATAAATTTTTTGTACCTGAGACCCAATAGACTTTTACTATTTTTGAAACCTTCAACGATAATTGCAGCTTCCATTGCAGTTGAGGGTCCGTTCCAATTTTTAAAACATATGTGTTCCGGAATCTCCTTATCGCTGTTGCGATATCGAGAACAATGCATTATAATTTCGTTTATAAGAACGTTTACTCCAGGTTCCATCGCAAATAACTGTAATTTCTGGAACACCATCAAGACCAATAGTTCCTTGTTCTTTCGCAATGTCAGCTTCTTCATTAGCTGCTTCTTTCATATTATTAAACGCTAATTGCTTTATATCTTCAAAGAGTTTATTTTGCTTATCAGAAAAAGTACTTTGACTCATGCAGGGAATATCTAAATTAAGACATAATTCTTGCAAATTACGAAATCCATTTCCAATACTCGTTATTCCATTCACAGCTAGAATATTTATGTCCATGTCACAGTTAATATCGGATGTCGATACTGTCCCAACGTATTTACACATAGTACATCTTAAGGTTAAAATTTAACAAAATCCCATTTTCAATTCTTTAACAATTTTCAAATTTTTTAAAGTGCAACCGTATATTCCACTGAAATGATATGATACAACTTGTAACTGTTTAAAAAAATGGGTGATATTAACTATCCTATTTCCTTCAATGCTTCTATTTAGAAA